ATAAAAAATTATCATGTCCGGTTCCTTCGGGGGTGGATTTATAAGAATTCACATATCCCAATAATCAAATGATATATGAAAAAATTAATTAAGTGTTTATACAACATGGACAGAGATTTTGAAATTTGATGGCAATTTAAGCGTTTAAAAGAGATTTTTGACAAAATGCTAAGTTTGTTTATATTTTATTAGCAACCCTAAAAACCTGTAAATGTTAGTAAGTGGTTATATAATATTAGTTTTTTGTATTTGGATGATTTCCCTATGCCCATGTACTGTAAATTGCAAGTCTCTTTCATGGCTCTGAATCTTTCTAGCAAATCTGTGGAAACTGCCTTTATCTTTCACTGAACGTATTGAAATTATAATGTTAGAAAAATGAAAACAGAAAAAGCAAGAAACTTGATAGATATGGCTTCACTTATCTACCTAAACATTCCCATTTTTCAGATCTTCAACTTGATTGCTTATCAAAAAACTTCTTGAAGAAATCAATACTACAAAAAGGTTTGATACATCCTTTTTTGACTCCTATAAACATTATGAAATGGCTTCAACCATGGCTAAATTCTGGATGGGGCCACCGCTGTTAGAATCTGAATGCATTTAAACATAACAATCCTTGAAAAGAAATATGTCTTTGAGCAAACTCAAAATGTTTCATGCATGTATATACCTTTGATTCTTTTGCACCGCTTTTTGTTGCCTCCTTTCGCCTAAATCCATGACTTTATCAAAAGCCCCTTCTTTTTCTCTTTATCATCGTATATGTATGAAATCCTTTAATATTTCCTTTAGACAAGAAACAGCTAAATGAAATAGTTTGAATTGACCAGCTAACAAAGATACAACTAGGCCCCCACTAGTTTTACGTTCGATTCATCTGGAAAATGAAAAAAATTGTAAAATCTTTCTTCATGTTATGTGTCTGATAACTTTAATTTCCTAGCTAATGAAAAGTGATACACATATATATGATATATTTTACGCGTGGATAACACAAAGCTCCACCAAAGCTAAATTAGTGCTATGTACATTTTTAGAAAAGATAGTCAAGGCTGCCCATAACAACCAAGGAAAAATTCTGAGACAACGGTCAGTCCCTTTCATAAGGTCTAACGGAAATATGATTCTTTATTATTTTTCTAAAGGCTATGGGATTGACAACCTTGATCCGATTCAATGATCAGACATGGCAATGTGTCATCAACAACTGCATCCCCAATTTCTTTCAATGGGCAGATAGTCCAATATTATTGGCTCACAACCACGACTCCACGAGGGTTCTCGATTTTGACAAATGCTGAGCAAATCCAGAGGATATACTACAATTTCATGATCCAATGACTTTTAAAAGTTCTTTTGTTATTTTCTCAGAGGGCCTTTGCTGACGCAACCCTCTCTCTTTTTTTCCCCTTTACTAGTCTCTTCACATGCAAGGCTGAGGGCTAGGCCACTTCCATACCACACCTTATGTTGGATCCAAGTGGAAAAGTAATGTACATACTTGTTAGTCTATATGCAGCAGTACCACTTTCAAACTGAACAAGTAATTGGTGGATTGTGCCCCCGGGGCATAGTCCAGTTGTGCAAAGGATGGGAGTGAGATTATCTCACGCTTTGCTGGCAATGCAGTATGGGAGTTCGATTCCTGAAACATGGAATTGAATTCCTTGTAGGTGTAGTGTACAGACAACTCTTGTTCCCTGACCTTTAAGGGCCTTTGCTGACGCAACCCTTTCTCTTTTTTTCCCCTTTACTAGTCTCTTCACATGCAAGGCTGAGGGCTAGGCCACTTCCATACCACACCTTATGTTGGATCCAAGTGGAAAAGTAATGTACATATTTGTTAGTCTATATGCAGCAGTACCACTTTCAAACTGAACAAGTAATTGGTGGATTGTGCCCCCGGGGCATAGTCCAGTTGTGCAAAGGATGGGAGTGAGATTATCTCACGCTTTGCTGGCAACCGCAGTATGGGAGTTCGATTCCTGAAACATGGAATTGAATTCCTTGTAGGTGTAGTGTACAGACAACTCTTGTTCCCTGACCTTTTGGGGCACATCACGCGATTTACCTCCCTCACAAAGCTCTAGGGACGGGGCAGTGGGGGCCCTCAAGGTTGGGGTTCAACCTTTTTTTATTTTATTTTTTTATTTAAGTAATTTGTGGATTGCTGATTGATTTTACAGATTGTTAATTCAAAATTAAAGATATCTAAAAATATTCCAACCCAGTTCCCATAATGTATTTCTTGGGATAATAAAGCGAAACTCGTTGACGTTGCATATCAGAAGTCCCTGTTCCCATCATTATGTTCAATTAAAGGAAAAAGAGAGAAAAGAGAAAATAATATGAAGTTGTGCCCCGCAATAGTCAGGAATTTTTTATTATCTAATCATGAACATAACATAAAATGTCTGTAATGTGAGAATATGCTCTTGGGAACAATCAATTCCATAAATCATATTATCCCAAACAAGGGGTCGGGGATATATTGGATCTCGACAGAACTTGAAGACAAACTTCTTTGATTAAAAATAAGGTCATTAGATCAAACAGCCTTTCTGTAAAGTTGATATGTTGACTAGGACGTCCTGGAAACTCAAAATTGATTATCGTTATAATTGTCAAATGATTATCACAATGCTTCGCCGCTTGTTCTTCGGAGTTAAGCAAAAGATCAATTGTATTTCTATTTCCTAATTAAACTAAGGACAGTGTAGAAAAGTTTGCATGCTATACACGTACTTTCTTGATTAGTAATATTAGTCTGCGGGTGGCTAAATTAGTCTGGGTCCTCTTTTGAAATTTCAATGGGTTTTCCTAAGGATTAAATTGACATCTGTAGTAGATAGAAAGCGATTATTGTGAAATCCATGGATTCCAAGACATCAAACCATAGTTTACCAGTCTATGGAAAATTTATAAAAATATTTGTATAAACTTTGTTGGGATTATCATATATATTGCAATATTCAACAAATGCAATTTTCGTAAGTACAATGAACAGAATTTTAGTCTTTTTGTCGAGTCTATTTAATGTTCCTTGCCAAACATGACATTATAAGTCCATAGAACGTTAGACATAAACTGTCATAAAAATAAAAAATAAAATAAAAATCATGTCATACATATGTTGATCACTAGGAATTGAAAGGTCGAATCTTCTGTTAAATACATGGCTTATATAATTTCAAAAAATTTCTTTACAGTCAATCTTTTAAGTTCAGAAAACCTCAAGGCAAGACAACCATTGCTTGTTAGAAAATCAAAGTTAATCTTTTTCTACTAAAAACTTGACACAATAAGGAGTTTGGGAATCTCATAACCCTTAAGAAAATAAATTATTTTTAGTAATCCCATTTTGTATAATTGCAAAATGATAAAAATATGGGGCCAAGAAAATAACTATTGTCTGCAAAGTACCATGTGTTTTTTGCATCAAGATAAGAAAAGTCTCTATCATTCCAACGTATACAATTCCTTATCTACTTACCAAACACTTCTACTTTTCAATATGATTACATTTAGCCAGAAGTTACGTAGGTTTTCTTTGAATTCCCCATCAAAATTCAAAAAGGGAGGCGGCGGTTGTCAAATTTTATAATTTTTTAATTTTTATGGAAAGAGATTAAATGGTTATAATTTATCACAAACACCTTCTTTTGTCTTCTTCTTAAAAGGGTTCTTGTAAATTTATTAAAAAAAGAAGAAATTAATTCTATTTATATTATAATATTTTCCATTAGAAACCCACCATATATTTTATTATTATTTTTTTATTCTTTAGGATGCTGGATCTAATCAGGATCATTCGTTTAATATTGATTAATTCAAAGCAAGACGAAAGATGATTAGTTAGAATGATTATTAATTTGATGAATTTTTAACATTATTGTCATATACAGTATGGTATAATATATATTGAGGCTTTTAAGATGCTGCATAATTTCTTTTCCAAATGATTAGTTAATTATATGTAAAAACATATATTTCGTTTGAAATCTCCAAAACAGAGAGTACTTATATTTATTCTGTTACATTTTATTTTAATCATCCCTTCATTTATTGATTAGTTTCATTTTTTTAACAAACATTAATTCACGTCCAATTTCTCATAAATTCGTGACAGCGACACCTAAATTCAAGCCTTTTACTTTACATAATATAAAAATAACCATCTATTAAAAATTTAAGAGTTATTAGAGGGGCAACAAAATCGCCTGCAACACGATCACGTTTCATTGATACAATTGCTGATTAACAACTTCGTTCCATAATTTCTCAATATGTATGTGTCATCTGTACAAAAGATTATGATAATTTTTTCTTTATCCGTCCAATTTTATATAATGTTCTTCAGATTCTTTCTACAAGATTATTGCATGCTTTATTAGAAGTACTGTCATGAATTTTTTTATTTTTTTCCCATGTTCAGAAGCACTTTATAATTCTAGTGTCAGTACTTTATGCCATGCTAATGTGTCTCTAAAGCAAATTAATATATATCAGCCTGTTACGCTAACCACTCGATGAAAACAGTGTCAAAAATCGTACAATTATAAAATTCTATTTATCAACTTTTTCGACAAACAATTGAACTTTTTTGCTAATACTTAATGCAAGATTCATACGACCAATTTAGTGGAAATCTGAAGTTGGAATGAAAACCCCTTTTTATCCATCACCGTTTTCTTGTGGTTGAAATTTCTGCTGAAATAAAACATATTACTCAAAATGTATTTTATGAAAATAATATAGGTATTTATAAAAGAAAATAACGGCTACGTGTTCAATTTCGATCAAAATGGATAAAGATGTGAATTCTTTAATAATATTCTTCGTAGTATGACTTTTATGAGAAGAAAATGTCGGAGAGTCGAGCAAGAATAGAAAGGTTAGCCTCCTTGAAAAGATAATTGAAGAACCAATGACAAGATGAAGATAGGTAGACCAAGTCATCCAAAACCACTATATAAGGTTTAGTCCCGAAGCCATTATTAACAAGGCAAGCCAACCCAAAACCTCAAAAAAAAACAGGAAAAATAAACAAGCAAGCAAAGAAAGGAATTCAAAGAAGATTCCTACTATATATCTCTCTTTGCACATCGTTTTCATTTCCCCTTCTTCCCTTTGTTAGCAAACCTTGAAGAAAACTCTCTCTGTATCTAATGGAAGCATTTCTACACAAGATTGCAATATTACATATATTTCTTGGATTCTTTCTAATTTTATCAGGTATGTATATCGCCACCTCGATGCTTTTAGGCATCGAAAATTTCATGGGTGAAAGTCCTTTATTCGTCACAGTAGGTAATTAATGACGGAATTTTTTAGGTTCGTACATATGTGTGTGTTTATTGATTGATGATTTTGGATTGAACAGGTTTTGGTATAGAATCCCTCGGCATTAATTATGGTCAAGTGGGCAACAATTTACCATCCCCTGATAAAGTTCTCGAGCTTCTGCACTCCCTTAGGATAACAAAAGCCCGAATTTACGACACGAATCCCCAAGTTTTGTCGGCATTTGCCAACTCCAACATAGAACTCATGGTGACAGTTGAAAACCAAGTCCTAACAACCTTAATGGATCAACAACAAGCACTTCAATGGGTAGGAACCCATATTAGGCCTTATTTTCCGGCCACGAGGATTACCGGAATTGCTGTGGGAAATGAGCTTTTCACCGGCAATGACATGACACTAATAACTAACGTCGTACCAGCCATGGTGAGCATTCGTGCAGCTTTAGTGAAATTAGGGTTAGATCAATATATTCAGGTTACAACACCCCATTCTCTAGCAGTTCTTGCGGCATCATATCCACCTTCCGCTGGAACTTTCCAATCCGAACTCTCCAGCGTAATGCCGCAAATTTTAAAGTTTTTGGCAGATACAAAGGCGCCATTTTTGATCAATGCCTATCCGTATTTTGCGTACAAAGATGATCCCAATAGGATTCCTATAGATTATGTACTGTTCAACCGTAATCCCGGAATGGTCGATCCTTACACTAAACTACATTATGACAACATGCTGTATGCTCAAGTGGATGCAGTGATATTTGCCATGGCTAGATTAGGGTTTCAAGGGATTGAAGTTAAAGTTTCAGAAACAGGGTGGCCATCAAAGGGTGATCCGAATGAAATCGGAGCGACGGTCCAAAATGCCGGCGTATATAATCGGAATTTGATGAGAAGGCAGTTAAAAAACGAGGGGACGCCATTAAGGCCTAACATGAGACTTGAAATTTATATTTTTGCATTGTTTAATGAAGACATGAAGCCCGGCCCGACATCAGAGAGAAATTACGGACTCTTTCAGCCCGACGGGACAATGGTATACAATGTCGGGATTTCCGCCTTGTCGAGTACTTCATCAACTTCAACTTCAACTTCAACTTCATCTGCGTCTGTTTCGTTCACTTCAAATGCCACCCAGGTAAATGTAAAGTCGTAGATTTTTTTTCTTTTCAACTTATTTAGAGATTTTCAGTACAAAATTACCAATTGAGGGAGAAATGAACGTACAAAGAAATAATGTAAATAGCTGTTTTTATTCATTACAAAGCAAAGCAATTGTACCATCTAACATAAGCGTGTTGGATTCGTTTTTCATCAAATATCTGACACGTGAAATCTTATAATGGGATATAGCAAATTGGAATTGCATGTGGTATGTTATTGATCCCCAAGTTTAAATAATTAGAAGTTGGAAATTTTTAATTATTTATATATTATCATCAACATAGTTCGAACAGAAGCACATGTCAAATCAAATATATGATGTTGGTCTCCCTTATCCATACTTTTGTGGGTCGACTTATAAGTGAAAAGTCATTCGTCTTGCATTTAGTTCCACATTTAGTCAACATCCCAATCAAGAATAGTCTTTCAAGTGTTGATTTTGAAATTTTTATCATTTTCTTCCAAAATGATATAATATAAAAATTCAAATATAGATACATAGTATGAAATTATTTACATTAAATTAATTTATTTTCTTTTTCCCTCTCTCTTTTTCTTTGGTTGTGAAACAGGTTAAACAGAAGGGAATGGGATATAAAAGCTTGGTGTACTCAATATTTCCATATTTGCTGGTCTTCATAGTTTTTTATGAGAAGATAGACAGTGTTTAATCCATAGACAACACCAGCAAATATCACTTCTGGGAGAGGAAATTAATGGGGTCTAATTTTTTGCACATTTTGCACAAAATTAAGTCACCCCATTTCGATGAAGATCCAATCGTTGAATCACATTATATTTCCCACATATACATGTATACGTACGTATACGTGTTTCTTCAATATTGACTCATCTACCATTGATTTAGAACCAATTCTTAAATCAATGGTCTGGTGATGCACCATTGTAATAAATTATAGGAGATATTTCAATAGAATATTAGATTTTAATTATCTAGCTAGAGATGTAACATACTCATTTTATTATTCTCTCATTGCATAAATTATAAAGGATTCAATATAAGAATTTACGTGCTCCACTCATTGCAAATGAATTTAAATCTCCCTCACTTTGTATCATTTTAAATTAAAAAAGAAGCAATTCATTCGACAAACCTGAAGTTGATGCCTCGTTTTCTTGTAGTGTTTTGCTTTAACTTTTTAGACTCTAAGAAATATATATGTTCAAATTATAATAAGGAAAAGAGAGACGATCTTTATACTTTTGGACGTGGATTGCATAACTGCCGCTCCGTTTGAAAACCAATTATCATTAGATGCTTTCCTCTCACTGATGCACATATATTCCTAATGTGTTTTAAATTATTTATTTATGGCATAAAGTCTAAGAAAAACAAATAAAAGAAAATGCTACCTATATTGCAAAAGGCTGAATTTTTTATATTTCTTGGGCGAACCAACTTTATTCCCCTCCCATAACTGTCAGCATTCGTCAATCAGTGCCATCCTTCTTTTTTTTTT